GAACTCAGCATTCCACTTCACCTGATCTTTCAGGCATCCCTGTGTACAGGAATCGTAGCAGACGTGTGGAAACAGGCTAACATAGTTCCAATCTACAAAAGTGGCAGCAGGGAAGACCCCCTCAATTATAGACCTGTATCATTGACAAGTGTAATAGTGAAAGTATTGGAAAAGCTAATCAAAACTAAATGGGTAGAACACCTGGAGAGAAATGATATAATATCAGACAGACAGTATGGTTTTCGATCTGGAAGATCCTGTGTATCGAATTTACTCAGTTTCTATGATCGAGCCACAGAGATATTACAGGAAAGAGATGGTTGGGTTGACTGCATCTATCTGGACCTAAAAAAGGCTTTCGACAGAGTTCCACATAAGAGGTTGTTCTGGAAACTGGAAAATATTGGAGGGGTGACAGGTAAGCTTCTATCATGGATGAAAAATTTTCTGACTGATAGAAAAATGAGGGCAGTAATCAGAGGCAATGTATCGGAATGGAGAAATGTCACAAGTGGAGTACCACAGGGTTCAGTTCTTGCACCAGTGATGTTTATTGTGTACATAAATGATCTACCAGTTGGTATACAGAATTATATGAACATGTTTGCTGATGATGCTAAGATAATAGGAAGGATAAGAAATTTAGATGATTGCCATGCCCTTCAAGAAGACCTGGACAAAATAAGTATATGGAGCACCACTTGGCAAATGGAATTTAATGTTAATAAATGTCATGTTATGGAATGTGGAATAGGAGAACATAGACCCCACACAACCTATATATTATGTGAGAAATCTTTAAAGAATTCTGATAAAGAAAGAGATCTAGGAGTGGTTCTAGATAGAAAACTATCACCTGAGGACCACATAAAGAATATTGTGCAATGAGCCTATGCAATGCTTTCTAACTTCAGAATTGCATTTAAATACATGGATGGCGATATACTAAACAAATTGTTCATGACTTTTGTTAGGCCAAAGCTAGAATATGCAGCTGTTGTGTGGTGCCCATATCTTAAGAAGCACATCAACAAACTGGAAAAGGTGCAAAGACATGCTACTAAGTGGCTCCCAGAACTGAAGGGCAAGAGCTACGAGGAGAGGTTAGAAGCATTAAATATGCCAAAACTAGAAGACAGAAGAAAAAGAGGTGATATGATCACTACGTACAAAATAGTAACAGGAATTGATAAAATCGACAGGGAAGACTTCCTGAGACCTGGAACTTCAAGAACAAGAGGTCATAGATTTAAACTAGCTAAACACAGATGCCGAAGAAATATAAGAAAATTCACCTTCGCAAATAGAGTGGTAGACGGTTGGAACAAGTTAAGTGAGAAGGTGGTGGAGGCCAAGACCGTCAGTAGTTTCAAAGCGTTATATGACAAAGAGTGCTGGGAAGGCGGGACACCATGAGCGTAGCTCTCATCCTGTAACTACACTTAGGTAATTACACACACACACACACATACGCACACGCACACATACACACACACACACACAATATATATATAATGTTATATATATTTTTAATTATACATCGTATTTTTAATTATTCATCTTCAGAAGAAATCAATTCATTCATTCCTTCTGAAGATGTATTATTAAAAATACGAAAGTATTTAAGGAAATTCATGTTTCAATTCTTCCTCCGTGATCTGACACTCACATTTTTCATCACTTGTTAATTTTCGTGATTTACACATATATATTGTGTGTGTGTGTTTGTGTGTGCACTTCAAAACCATTATTTTGTATAAAGCCCTGGTATAGGTCTTTTTTTTTTTTTGCTAAATGGGAAGGAAATATGTGAAAGGTGATATTTCCTGTAAGGAACCACTCTGATACCCGACACATACATAGCAGCAGAGGTGGTGCTGTGTCTGTTCAGAATCTCCAGCAAACTGAAACGAGTGATTTAGTCATTGATCGCACAGTTCGAAATTATGACATAGTATATAAACAATCAGTAAAAAAAAGTCTTTTCTGGTGTTTGGTAAATTAACCATAAAAAGATAAATATGTTGTCATATTTATCTATTTATTTATATTTGAGTGAATTTTCAGATATTTAATTCTATTTTTGTATTATAATAATTTATATCCCCAAAAAGGACGCAATTCCACCAGCAGTTGAGGAGGAAAATGTTTATGAAAACATTTACAAGAATAACTTCCAAGAGGACATATACTGCAACTTCAGCCGACGTGTGGCTTTTGATGACGTTGAAGCCTATCTCAACAAGGCCATTGGTGCTCATGACACCTCGGAGGACTTCATGGTTAGTCAAGTTGTTTGTAGCTGTGGCAAAGGGGTAAGATGAGTGGAAAGTGGGAAATGACTGGACTAATGGGTGATAAATGTACCAAGTGGGGTATGACTGTACAAAGTGTGGAATGACTGTACAAAGAGTGGAATGACTGTACCAAGTGGGGCATGAATGAACCAATTTGAGGATGCTTGTACAGTGTTGAGAATAATTGTACAAACAGTTGTGTCCGGAGGTTTGTTAGAACAACAAATACAAATATCATAGGACGATATGTGCAGTCTTTACCCCTCAGTGTTTGTAAACAAATATCTAATGGTGACCTCTGGTGTGTGTTGCAGTCTGTCCCGTCCAATGTTGGCAAGTCTATGTCTGTCGGAGAACATCTTGAGAACAAGAAGAAGAACCGCTACCGGAATAACCTTCCTTGTAAGTACACCTGATTCTCTTTCACCAATTTTTACCATTATCTCATGCAGAGGCTGGTTGATGAGGCCCTGACCTCACCTAATCTCACCATTCATTATACAGCAATGTTTTTCTTGCAATGATACTTTAAACATTAACTCAATTTTGTACAAGGTTTGTTGACAAAGCACACTAGAAGGTGAAAGGACGACGACGTTTCGGTCCGTCCTGGACATCTAATCTACTTGAGAATGGTCCAGGACGGACCAACGTCGTCGTCCCTTCACCTCTAGTGTGCAGTGGTCAACAACTTTAGCCACGTTATTGTGACTCATCGCCTGCATTGTACAAGTTTTATTAGTGCTGTGTCAAATTTTTACACCACATATACTAGTCCTGATCTTTTTGCACCCTCAGTATACTAGTCCTGGTCTTCACATCCTTAGTATACTAGTCCTGGTCTTCCCTCACCCTTAGTATACTAGTCCTGGTCTTCCCTCACCCTCAGTATACTAGTCCAGGTCTTCCCTCACCCTCAGTATACTAGTCCTGGTCGTCCCTCACCCTACGTATACTAGTCCTAGTTGTGGATTTTTTTTTACCCTTCTGACTCCCTAAAATAAGGAACTAACTAGCCACTAGGAAACTTGTTTTCTTCGTGGGGTAGTGGACTGTATCTATTTTCTGTGTTCCCTAAGTGGATCAGTTTTCAGTGATCCAATAGGAATGGTGCTGCTTTCATCAACCTGTGAAAGAAAAAACCTCCACTTACCACTTAGTAAAAAAGTAATATATATAATGCAGCTAGCTCTGATTCGATTACAAATTATATTAGCCTATTCATTTGATCTGGTAACTTGTCATATATGAATTATTAATAAAACAATGACATATTCTTTAATGGTATGAATTTATTTATTACAAATGAATACTTTAATTTGTGTTTAAGCAATCGCAATATATCAAGTATGTTAAACATTAATTAACCTAGTTAGTATATTTTTTTAATTTTAGTGGCAACTAATTTACTTACTGAGGTGAGCTCGTAAGCTCATGGTTGTAACCGCACCTGCAATATAATGGGGGTTAGTGGCTCAAAAAGACATTGGATCCAGTCTCTAGTTACTACACCACCAACCTCCCCTTATTTTATTAGGATGCAGGTACGGAGCTCTTATCTTATTGTACTAAGATTTTTAACCCTCTTGTGGGGCCAGAGCTTGTAATGTTGTTCACTACTGATGTTAGAATGGTGTTGTCTAGACTCCACCGGCTTCTGGCTTGGAGTCCGGTGTTGCTCACACTCCACCCACAGTATATGGGAAGACACACCTGTTTCGTTAAAATAGTGTCTTAATGTTTATACACATTTAGGTGTAGTTAACACCACCGACCAAGCCTTTGTGTGGTGGCAGTTTTCTTTACACAGCGTGGGAGTGTGTGTATCACAGCTGTGGTGACGATGTGGCCACACACTTGTCTCACTGTTTCTTGGCAAGACACACTCTTATTTCACATTAAACAGTGCCTTGATGTTGATACACATTTGTGTGTTGTTTTACACTACCAACTAGGATTTCACGGAAGATAAACGGCTAAAACTAAGCTTGTACGACCATGGAGTGTTCCCATGAAGTGTTTGTTGTTGTTTTTGTTTTAGCTACTCAGAACGAAATGTCCATGCACATATATCAAATGAGGTGGTAGGTCTTGTTTATCTTGTGTGAGGGCAACCCGTTCTCGCAAATTTAATAAGTCAATATTGACTTATTAGTTGCGTGCATAGGTGACATACTAAACATAATAGTTTTCCTTGAAAAGCTTCATAGAAAACACCGACCTTACCTAACCAACTTAGTATGTTAAAATAAGCATCTTATTGCTTCGTAATTACAATTGTTACTTAACCTATTATAGGTATAGGTTAGGTAATAATTGCAATTACGAAGCAATAAGATGCTTATCTTAACATACTAAGTAGGTTAGGTAAGGTCGGTGTTTTCTATGAAGCTTTTCAAGGGAAACTATATGTTAAGTATGTCACCTATGCACATATTTAATAAGTCAATATTGACTTATTAAATTTGCGAGAACGGGTTGATGAGGGAGTGAGGCGTCGCATTCTGTGGTGACGATGAGATCACACTCCTCTCTCACTGTGGCAAGATCAAATTATTACTTAAATAGAATATCTTGCAGTTAATACACATTGTATGTGCAGTATACACTACTAATCAGGTCCATGGAATCTAAAAGGCTACAAATAAAGCAGCTTGAAGACCGTGGAGTTGTTTTTGTTGATTTAGGGGCGACGACGATCGTAGGATCGGATGCGCCCCGGTGTACCCGGTAAGGGTTAATCGCAAAGCCCGGTAAGGTGAAACGCCAAGCCAAATCGCGAAACAAGTGACGCCAATCACTGGAAACTAATATGCCATGTGGCAAAAAAACGCAGACAGTCAGATGATTGGGGAGCCCCAGGAGTCCCTCAGGGTGACAAGCACCGGCCCCGCCCCACACAGAGAACACTGGGTAGCAAAACCAAAAACTCGGCCCCCAACTAAAACGCAAAAGTCATCCAATGTCCTCCGGTAGAGCAGAAGCCAGCCGCCCACCACGTCTGAGGGTACACCAGGAGCCCACTAAGACCCGCCAACCCCTGGCACCTCTCATCCAAGCCGGCCCCCGAACACCGTCACCCCGCCCGCACCCTGCCAGGAGAACCAGCCAGAACAAGTAAAAAAAAAATCTATCAACAATCCCATGACCCAAGGCGATATGTGCGCCAGGCGTCGTACAATCGGACCGTTAAATAGGGATACCAAACGGCAGTAGCAAAGCCAAAACGCGAAAACAGAACGTGATCAGGCGGCTCCCAGAGAAGAGGTGTCCAGACGTCCGCTCGTCGCCAAGGTTGAACCAGGAGTCAACCGTGGAGTGTGTCCTCATGGCAGAGGTGTATTGTTTATTAAAGCGTCAGCGTTTGCACACAGATGCGATCCACTCATTGGCGAGTATCATTGCCTTGCCTCATTAAATAATTCATTTATACTACCGTTAACCAAATGTATTTGGCTAAACAAGTATTTCTTAAGGATGTGTATTTATTTTGAAGTATTACCATGGTATGCTTATAGCTGTCAGATGTAATTACATATCCTGATATGGATTCATTAAGGAGGCCTTCTTGGGATGTGTAGATCACAAAATGGTCATATTATGCTGACTTGACACTCTGTCTCGAGAGAGCTTGGCTTGTTTTATAAATAGCCATGCCTGAGCCATGTACTTTCATAAACCATGTACTCAGACATGTCATGCTATAATTGTGGTGGAAAATTTTCCACACTTTGTCTTCCTTTACCCTCAGTATACTAGTCCTGGTCTTCCCTCACCCTCAGTATACTAGTCCTGGTCTTCCCTCACCTCAGTATACTAGTCCCGGTCTTCCCTCACCCTCAGTATACTTGTCCTGGTCTTCCCTCACCTCAGTATACTAGTCCCGGTCTTCCCTCACCCTCAGTATACTAGTCCTGGTCTTCCCTCACCCTCAGTATACTAGTCCTGGTCTTCCCTCACCCTCAGTATACTAGTCCTGGTCTTCCCTCACCCTCAGTATACTAGTTTTGGTCTTCCCTCACCCTCAGTATACTAGTCCTGGTCTTCCCTCACCGTCAGTATACTTGCAGATGACGAGACGCGGGTGGAGCTCTCCGTCATTAACAACGACCCGTTCTCTAATTACATCAACGCAAACCACGTCTACGTGAGTATTATTTCCTGGGAGGCTGTGGAACTGGTCCCTCCTCCTGCCTCTCTGTGTAGCAAGTATATCTGTGTAGCAGATGTATCTCTGTGTTGTACGTGTATCTCTGGGTAGCAAGTGTAAGTGTATCTCTGGGTAGCAAGTGTATCTCTTACCTTCCTTTATTAAGTGTACCTTCTAAGTAACTGTATGTCAAGTGTTCAACATCACAGATAGATATTGTACCTGTTTCTTTTTGTAAGTACCAGTGGAGGGCTCTAATTTGCACTGTTCGTGCCTGATCTGGTCACATATATCAGTACTGAGCCATGATGGCCAGTGCTCACTCCTGATCTGGTCACATATATCAGTACTGAGCCCTGATGGCCAGTGCTCACCATAAATCATCTCGTACCATATTAATATTGAGCGCAGAGTTCATCCAACATCATGCAGATACTAACTGACCTGTTATTGGAAATGGTTGTTCCTGAACTCGTCTCAAATAGGTTGTTCATTCAGTGGAGAGATTTGTATGCAAATTTGCTTAACATAATTTTCACAGGGCCATATATATAATTGTTAACAAGACACTGTGTTAGGGACTCACAACTGGTAGTTACTAAGCTATTCCAATACTTACTCTAACAATATTCCTTTCTCCGTTATCATCTTCAGCTCTCGGTATATGGTATACCATATGCTCCATATAATAGTCATTTAGGTAAGAGTTACACTTGATATATGGAGAGGTTCATAGGTTGATTAAAAACAATGTAAATTATTTTGTAGCTTCAATTAATGCTTTCTTTTATATTAAAAAAATGGATATAAATATGCTTGTTAAGAATGTCACCAAAGGCCGCACTCGACGTAATACTGAACAATCATTCTTATATATTCAGGGGTTTGGAGGTGTTCTGAAGTACGTAGCCTCGCAAGGCCCCAAGGAGGCTAATGTGAGCACCCTCGGCGACTTCTGGAGGATGATATGTGAACATCACATCTACGTCATTATAATGGTGGCTAACTTTGAGGAGGGCGGGAAGGTAATTATATACTAAAGTGTCTTTTTGGATCACCCTAAACTTGAGTGAAAAGTGTAATTTTACTGCTACTTGAGCTAAATTACAGTTGAGTTTGTCCAGCTCAGTCACAGATATTCCTGAAGGTGTAGAATGCAGGGATGGGTATGATGCCCCGCGGTGGTAAGGACGTCACTCATCACACAACTACCTTGTCTCTGTGTCTGTGAGTGTATAATGCGTGTGTCCTGAGAGAGGCCTGAACACTGTGTCTAAGCGTGATTGTATATATGTATGCCCTCAGGTTTAGGTCTAGTCCATTTTTTCGGCTTAGAATTTTTTGTATAACTTCAATTATCTTGAAGTTATACAATACAATTATATTGTAATTATATATATACAATACATAGTTATATACATATACAATTATATATTATCAATTATATTCAATGTATAACTTATATTCACTGTGCTCTATTTATTGAACTAAAAGCTACGGCAATTAAGCTAATGAAATTGGATTTAACTAGCATAATAAGTAGAGGTACATATTCAATTTGTTGATGGAAGATATATACATAATAAATAATTATTTTTTCGTGTTATTTGATCAGAAAAAAGTGGGCAAATACCTGGATTTTGGAGGAGCCCTGATGATTGATGACTACAAAGTGGAAGTTATTAAGACAGATCATCACCCTAATTACAACGTGTCTCTTGTTCAGGTAATGTACACTGTACTGGCTGAGTATTTGGCTTCTCTAGAGGAGAGTTGGACAGCTTCTTTTCCTTCATTGTGGCATAAGGGCCAAGTTAATAAGGATATCAACAAATATGTTTAAACAGTGTTTAATTAATGAAAATGAAGAGATGTATACTGTGGATAGAGAAAGCTGTGGACTTAACATGTGGTGTATATAAAGGGCATTTGGAAACCTGTGGCCTGGTAAAAGCATATATCTATACTGTTAGGAAATGAATCTGTCTGTCTGTCTGTCTGTGTGACTTGACTGTCTGGTTTGGGATGTAGGCTGGTCGGAGTAGGTCTAAATTAAATGCTTTAAGAAATATTAGCAATTATAAAGACTGTACGCTATTTGCATGGAGTCAAGTATGAAATAGGCTGCATGGTTACTGTGGAGTTTTTAGTGACAAGAAAATGGTAATACCTTATTAATGTCCACTATCTCGCTATCATTATAGACATTAGAACATAAGATTAATGATTCTAACATGAATCTTCTCAATATTTCTTATGTTTTTCTTCACTGTTGAGGGTAGTTGAAAAATTAACTCTCCAAAGTTAATTTTTACACTTTATTTATGGTCCGACACCTAGGGAAGTGTTTTACAAGTCACTCCTTACATTTTCAAAGATACGTTTTACATGCATACATAACACGTTTTACATAAGCCCCTACTTATATGGGAACTGTAAGTGACCTCTTATCATCAAGCCCCTGCTTGGTGAAAAATGTAAGTGACCTCTTACCTCTTTGGTGCCCTTGGGGAGTGGAGATGTTTAGGGAAATGCTCTGAAATTTCCATTCCTTTTAAGGGTCTGAGTTTGGTGTAGTGGGTTAAGGCGTACTAGTTATGCCAGTTGTTGTGAAGCAACTGTGCTGTTTGGGTTCGAGTCTACCTGATGGATGGTGTCTAAGTTGTGTTACTTCACTTCACTTGCTAGTTTAGACAAGTTTATGTGCATATATATATATATATATATATATATATATATATATATATATATATATATATATATATATATATATATATATATATATATATATATAAAATATGAGGGGGCGGCAAGCCGTGTGCTAGATAATGTGTGTTTAGAGGTAACGGCGATACATGTGCTGTGAGATTGGTTAAAGTTTGTGTTTATTTTTTTTATTTTAGTGGGTGCAGGGGAATTTATGGATTAATAATACTGTTATTACTATGTCATGCTAATTATTTACATAAATATTCAGTATATGGTACAAAATTTTTACCGAGCATTGTGCTGCAGACGAAGACAGTTTATATATTTTGCATATTTTGGTGTTGGATCTGAGTTCAACTTAATTATGTAAATAATCAAGTGTAATATTAAATACTTACGGAAAACTGGTTGTATTTGCAGGTGTGGAAGAATGGAATTGCTCACACAGTGACCCACTACCACTACTTGAGCTGGCCGGACCACGGCGTGCCCACCGAGGCCCACAGTCTGGCCACCATGCTCCGGCAGGTCATCCACACGCATTCTGAAGGTACGCCGCCCATCACAACATTTTATATAACTTGTGATTTTACTTGAATTGTAGTTTGATTAGTTTACTGTGTGTGGTGGGGTGGTCAGGCTACTTAACCAACTAACCAATCTGAGAGTAAATTGGCCAAAAAACTAATAGACATGGGGTTTAGTCGGATAACTAGCACTTTCCTTTATTGATTTATTGATGATGAGGTCACTGTGGCAGAATCAATGTTGTGCGATCAATACTTGAGATCTTTGTAGTGTTGTTGATTTAGGTGCGACGACGATCGTGGGACGGGATGTGCCCCGGCGTACCTGTGATGGGTTAATCGCGAAGCCCAGAAAGGTGAAACGCTAAGCTTAATCGCGAAACGAGTGACGCCAAGCACCAGAAACTATTATGCCTCGCAGCTAAGAAACACAGACAGGTAGATGATTGGGGAGCCCCAGGAGTTCCTCAGGGTGACAAGCATCAGCCCAGCCCTACACAGAGAGCACATGGTAGCAAAACCAAAACTCGATCCCCCAACTAAAACGCAAAAGTCATCCAGTGTCCTCAGGCAGAGCAGAAGCCTGCTCCCCACCACGGCTGAGGGCTCACCAGGAGCCCACCAAGACCCACCAACCCCCGGCACCTCTCGGCCAAGCCGGTTCCCCACACCGTCACCCGGCCAGGAGAACCAGCCACAACATGCCAAAAAAATCTATCAACAATCTTGTGACTCAAGGCAAAATGTATCAACGCCAGGCATCGTACAACTGGACCGTTAAATAGGGATGCCAATGGCAGTAGCAAAGCCAAAACGCGAAAACAGGACATGAACCGGCGACTCCCAGGCAGAGGAGGTGTCCAGACGTCCACTCGCCGTCAGGGTTGAACCAGGAGTCTGCATCGTTGTAGTGCTGAGTGTCACTAAAACCTCACGGGCAACCTTTGTTTACTTTCAATCCGCCAGTCTCCCATACGAACCCTGGACGTGTCCAGCCCAGATCTTAATTTTGTCATTATTGACTTAGGGAGGTAGACTTGAGTTTTATTGATAATTATATTAGATATAGTCATTGAGAATACTTTTTTATTAATTCATCCCTAGACTGGTGGTTTTAATGAAACGGGTTGAAGCTTAACTGAATGTTTTGATGACATCACAGATTTTCTGTTTTCTCTGAACGGTCACGAAACCCATTTTCTTCTAATGAAGTTAGTGATTAGTAATGTTATTATCGGATTTCCGACATATAGGGTTCTTAGTAAGTGCCTTAACTAACTCACAAGTGATTGCTGATGTTTTTATGGACAGTATTCAATATGGTAAAGTAATATGTTAATTAATTTAGATACATTTCAAAGTAAGGCTAGTCATTCACATGCATATCACAGAGTGTAACTCTGAGTTTGTAATTAGAAACACATTCATGCTGGGAAAGCACAGCTTGTCTGAAAAAATGGGGTTTGTAGTTGTGACACAACTCCAATATTCAGAGTGAATTTTCAATTGTGTTTCACATGGCAGGACTTGTGTACCTGTTGAAATTTGATGTGTTGATCCACTGAATTTTGTTCGTTATTTGCCAGGTGGTGTAGTTGTGCACTGTTCGGCTGGGATAGGACGCACAGGCACTGTTTTGCTGGTGCTGCTCTTACACGAGATGTTGATGGTCCAGGGCAGTATGGACCCACTAGAAGTGTTGCAGAGACTTCGTGATTGTCGAGCTCGTCTAGTAGAGAACGTTGCTCAGTACAACCTCGGTCTTCAAATATTTGATGAGCTTCTATATGGAGATAACACTGTCATTCCCTCGGTCAGTGCACACGATCAGATGAAGGAATTCATGAGGACAAGTCATGATCTTTACCAGAAGGCTTTGGCCCTGCCGTCTGCCCTCACTTTCAGAGTGTCATCTCAAGGTGAATATTATCCGCTAAACCGCAACCCAGCTGTTGTACCAGCAGATACTCGAAGGATCTTCTTGGAGATGGAAGGTGGTGAGATGCTTTCCCAGTATATTAATGCAGTGAGACTGGACGGTCTGGATGAACCCAACACCATGATAGCGACAGAGCATCCTCTTCCCTCCATGCTCAACAAGTTCTGGAAGCTTGTGGTCGAGAAGAAATGTCCAAGTATTATTCTCATCAACACATTTGATGGATATGAAAAGGTAATTTATGAGTATTGTTAAGTATTTCCAATATTTAGCTTGACAAATGGTCAACTGTGCGTCTCATCAAAGAATTTGGGCCATATGAAGAGGTAGCCTACTTTGTGTGTTGTTCAGTAAGTAAAATATTTAGCTTGTTAATATGTTCATCTTTTGATCCATATCACAAAAAAAATCCTTTAAGCATTTTATATATTTGAATATACCATTTATTATGATTATTTTTAACACATCCTAAGACAATAATTATGCAGTTGGTTCCTCAATTTTACAGTTCATTCACTACCCTATAATTATCTTGAAACAAAATTGAAGTATGAGAAATAGGCCTCTGTACAAAAACTGAAATCTAAAGATTATTCAGTGGGAGCAATGTGTGGCTCTTAATTAATGTTTGCTTCATGTTGCTGGCAGGAGTTTCCGTGTGTGTTGCCTGGACCCGACTGTGACCTACAGGTGGGCCGCTACACCGTCCGCACGCTCCATGTGACGCCCTACAAGTCGTTTGACCTCTACTCTATTGAGGTGTTCTCCCAGCAGGTATGGTAACAACTTTATTTTCGTGCCTTCATATTTCAACAGGGGTCAGAATGGTTGAAATTGTTATCAGTATGTCATTCGACTATCATTATAATTTCAGTTATAACATTCTTTTTCAATTATATGTGTATGCAAAGCAATCTTTCAACATATATTACCAAATATTTTCCTCACTTCTCAATTATTATGTTTAATAATGAGTGTATGGTTAAGTGAGAGGAATGTGATGAGTGATATAAAACTTGGTGTTCAGAATGTACACCAGACAGTGAGCGTGTACCAGCTTACGTCGTGGCCGTACGGGACCCAAGTGCCTCCCTCGCCCCAAGTCCTGGTCGCAGTGTCAGAGATGCTGCTGCAGTCTCCCCGCTCTCCCGAGGCTGGTCCTCTCCTCCTGTCTTGTGGGTAGGTGCTCCTTTATCAGAGCATCTTGTATGCTCTGCACACTCTTTCTTGCCACCCTCACTAATATATTCACAAATACAACAATTATTCCTGGGAATGAGACATAACATCCAAATGAAGCATTCACATCATGCAAAATATATTCATATTTTTGTCAATAAAGTGAAGTCACGTCATCTTATTTAAAAAAAAAAACATAGTAGGTCTACTGGCTTTTAGTCAAGTTTTATTTACATCAAATTAGCTTTGGACACCTATCTCTTTATCCTATTTCGAAAGTTACCCCTTTTCGTTCCATTTTTCATAGTGCAGTCATATAGTCTCCTAATATCCCCTTACTAATTCCATGTTCACACTAACATGAGAGATTGTGAGGTCCTGACTATATTGTGTGTGTGAACTGTAAGCGTGATCTTGGCAGTGACGGGGTGACGGGGTGTGGACTCTTGGCTGGCGCCCTCTTGACTATAGAGAACCTTCAGAAATCTGACAAGATTGATGTTTATCGCACTGTTGTGAAACTTCGTCGGGCTCGACCACAGTTCTTTGTCTCTCAGGTAAGTAAATGCAGCCTTCTGTGTAATGCTCGTAAGAGTGTGAGTGAGAGAGAGAGAGAGAGTGTGTGTGTGTGTGTGTGTGTGTGTGTGTGTGTGTGTGTGTGTGTGTGTGTGTGTGTGTGTGTGTGTGTGTGTGTGTGTGTACGTGTACGTGTACGTGTGTGTGTGTGTGTGTGTGTGTGTGTGTGTGTGTGTGTGTGTGTGTGTGTGTGTGTGTGTGTGTGTGTGTGTGTGTGTGTGTGTGTGTGTGTACGTACTATTTGTGCTTGCAGAATCGAGCTATTATCTACACTACACTACACACAGAAATCACAATAGTGCAATATATCAAATGAACAAATCCACAAGGGCCTTGATGAGGGTTCGAAAATACACACGGGATGTTCCCAGATGCGCCTTAGTCAACTGTACCATGACGTGGTCAAAAGAATTGCAACCTGGAGTGCTACTGGCCTTACGTGGATTCCGAAGCTTTTTCAGATCCTAACAGGGGGTTTCATATAATTCCCCCATGCACTCGGGCTCTGTCAGCCAGATGTTTTACCTCTACGCCCCTACTTCAATACACACAGAAATCACAATAGCGTGGCATATCAAATGAACAAATCCACAAGGATTGTGCATCGGAGAAGCTTCAGGATCCTCGTGAAAGCCGTATCATTCCAGGTTGCAATTCTGTTGACCATGTAAGGTGCAGTTGACTAAAGCGCATCTGGGAACATCTCGTGCGTAGGTTTGAACCCTCATCATGGCCCTTGTGGATTTGTTCATTTGATATATCACGCTATTGTGATTTTTGTGTGTATAGGGTATGCCTTACCAAAGTATAAGATTTACCAATCTCAAGTATAAGGGTTTACCTTTACTCAAATATAGTTTATCTTACTCAAGTATAGGGTAAACTCAAGTACCAACTTTACCTTACTCACTACAGGTTATATTTAAATTTAAGTCGAGGGTTTTTTTTTTTTTGCCCCCTCCCTCAAGCTTAGACTTCACTCAAGTACAAGGTTTACAGATTAAACATAAGTGTTCTTGTCATTCCTCCAGGACCAGTTTGAGCTGCTCTACAGTGCCGCTGTTGTGTACCTGGAGAATTATGACACGTATGTGAACTTTCCAGTTTGAACCACTGAAGGAGGAAGACTGCGTGATGGTGCTCTGCCTGCAAGTTACACATTTGGGGACATGCTGTGTGTTATGTAGACTTTGTAGTGCTGTGTGTACACCGTGGAAAACTTGTAACTGTTTTATAGTAAATGTAGATCTTGTAGCATTTATTATCTAGAAGATTTGTGGTGTATGTTTTGTGTACTCGACAGGCTATTAAACTTGATTTTTGTTTTAATATTGTAGATTTTGTAGCACATTATGTGAAAGATTGCTTGTTGGTGGTCTACATATTTTGAAGGATATTTTAATTTTAAAAGGTTTTTGGTAATAGAAATTTTGTAGCACTTAAGATATTCATAAGATATAAGATATTTATTGTTACCAGTGTTTTATACAAATGTAGATTTTGTAGCACTTAAGGTGTATAAGACTTGGTGTACTACTGTTTTATACAGGTGTAAATATTAGGTGCATAAGACTTGGTGTACCAGTGTTTTATACAAGTGTAGATTTTGTAGCACCAATGATAATACTCTGTATACAGTAAGAGAGGATTATTAAGCTTGAAAACATTGCTAGTAATGTCCATTTTGTGGTACTGTGAATGTAGAAAAGTGTTGAGGAACGCTTCCACCTGATCCACAATAACGAAACTGAAGTGTGGAATGTTGATGAGGCGGTGATGTGCCCAGGTGAGGAGGGGCTGGATGCACAGGCTCAGGATGAAGCGGTGATGTGCTCAGGTGATGAGAGGCTGGATGGCCGGGCTCAGGATGAAGCAGTGATGTGCCCAGGTGACGAGGGGCTGGATGACCGGGCTCAGGATGAAGCAGTGATGTGCCCAGGTGACGAGGGGCTGGATGACCGGGCTCAGGATGAAGCAGTGATGTGCCCAGGTGACGAGGGGCTGGATGACCGGGCTCAGGATGAAGCAGTGATGTGCCCAGGTGACGAGGGGCTGGATGACCGGGCTCAGGATGAAGCAGTGATGTGCCCAGGTGACGAAGGGCTGGATGCACGAGCTCCGTATACAGCAGCTCGACAACCTTCACTCGCCCACTAAACTAGCTGCATGTTGTACACTAGTTTAGGTTTGATTCTTCATTGTATTATGTCGTTTTTAGTAACCAATGTGAGAGATGTGTTTAATTTACATTTGTGATTGTGTTTTTGTGCGATGTTGTGCCTGATGGTCGTGGGAGATGGGGTGTGTTATGCAGTTATCCTCGTGATAGACCACAGCCAGCTGGCTCCAACTGCCACAAGTGTTGTTTCAGTCAAAGTAATCACTAGATACTTTCACCCGTGCATTTCGTGGCCTTGTTGACTGTGGTGGGAAGGCGAGAGGGCTGTAATTGACTCAGTGTGTGACCAGACATTTGAGCACAAGTGAACACAGAGCCGGTGTGAGTGCGACGCGGACATTTTCACAACAGGCTGTGAGGATATTCTTTCATTTTTGTGTATTTCCTTGACTGCAATTATTGCTATAAGTTTTCATCAGGTGTTTAACATTCTTGCTTTAACTAAAGTTCTAATAATTGTGTGTGTGTGTTGTATTTCTAGTTTCTCAATAATAATCTTAGAAATGAAATTTTATCTGAGTTTAAGATACTGTATGCAGCACAAGAAGTAAGAATACAATTCTTGGCCTTGTGTCAATGTCGGACAACGTTAAGAAGCATAACTTTGTCTGTCATAGTTATTTACAGTTATACATAGTGTTTGTCATGGCAGATTTACATCTAGTAGGTTGATCTTAGTTTCTCGAATTAAGATCAACCCACTTGTTGATCTTTATGCGAGTCACACCTTGGTAAGGTGTGACTACTTCGAGTGACACCTTCCGGTTATCTTGAAGTTATCTTGAGATGATTTCGGGGCTTAGCGTCCCCGCGGCCCGGTCCTCGACCAGGCCTCCTTTTTGTTACACAGCCCCCAGGAAGCAGCCCGTAGCAGCTGTCTAACTCCCAGGTACCTATTTACTGCTAGGTAAAAGGGGCATCAAGGTGAAAGAAACATTTTGCCCATTTGTCTCTGCCTCCACCGGGGATCGAACCTAGAACCTCAGGACTATGAATCCGAAGTGCTGTCCGCTCAGCTGACAGGTGTACCTTGGTAAGCTTCGAGTCACACCATGGTAAGCTTCACGAGTGCACCCAGGAGTGTCATGACTTACAACACTTCTTTGAGAGCTGACTACCAGGAGGCCATGAGCCACTGTAGGGTCATAGTTACCGCATCACCATAGGCCGCCAGGAGGTTCAAGTATAGCCATGAGCCACTGTAGGGCCATAGGCCGCCAGGAGGCTCAAGTATAGCCATGGGCCACTGTAGGGTCATAGTTACCGCATCACCATAGGCCGCCAGGAGGTTCAAGTATAGCCATGGGCCACTGTAGGGCCATAGTTACCGCATCACCATAAGCCAAATTCTTGTTATTCCACCACCCGCCGCAACTGTCGATCAGTGAACAGCACTTTTTACTGTTTTTTATATGCGACGTATATAACCCATCCTTCAGCCGAAGATGTAAGTCACATGCTGACTTATGTCGATATTAAAAAGTCATTGTTTGACTTATGAAGCAGACAACCAACTGGCGGGACGAATCTTTCACACGGTGTAATCATTCAACTTCTTTCTTTATTATGCACCCCATACCCATCCCGTAGGCGGTGGTGGAAAGGTTTACAGAGGCACATAATGGGTTCAGGAACTGAACCCCATAGTTCGTTTAGTTAAGCAAGTGACAATCTTGTGAAGCTAGGTACACAATTATTAATGTTACATACACTTCCATATATATACAATTAATTACACAAATATATATATATATACATATAAATAATCTTCATATCACATGTGATTCAACAAGAGGCTCACAAGTCACTATAGAAGGCAGTTTACATCTATGGTGAGTCACACAGTTACTAGTCTTGCTGCACACCCACCCAACTGGGCGGCAGCTTTACAGTCATGTGCAGGCTGCATCTACAGTAAGCAAATTTGGAATACTTCGCTAAGATTCCTGGCAGTACATCATTATGAATGAAGTACTTACACATATCTTGGACTTCATTGATGGTGTTATCTCTGAATTCCGAGATTTGTTCACATTTCATTATATAATGACGCAAAGTATGTGAATAGTTGACAGTTTACATTTAGTCAAATCTGCATTAGCAGATGTTACAAACTGCCAGAGATACTTGTAGCCGAGCCTAAGCCTAGCAGTGGTAACATCTAGAAGTCTGCTAGCCTTATTGGATGACCCATACACGTGCCGTTCTTACTGCATAATAGAACGATGATAGAGCAACGGGTGTGAATTTCACTTTGCCTCAAATCTACGAGATTTTGTTGATCCCAGAATATTGCTGCTCAAAGGCAGTCCAGGATGGTAATCAATTCCCTCTTTATGAGCAAAAGTCTTGGCCAACTCATCAGTTCTATCATGCATAGTGACAACCAATATGGAAAGGAATCTACGAGAGTAATAAGAAACGCTTTTTGTCTCGAATATAAATTTATATAATTGATGAATGAGTTGAAGGGAGGTTAAAATTCAACCCGTCCTCCTGTTTAGATAGTGTTTTTTGTAACTATGAGGACCATCGTATATATATTGACGTAATAGACTATTAGATAGTAGAATTTGAAACTATTCGCTTTACAGCGAATAAATACAATCTGGAAAAATTAAACAAAATCAAACTTAAATATTCCTAGGCCTAGTATAGTACATGTATGTACTATATTAGTCCTCATATTGTAACGGGGGGTGGGGGAAATAGCTCTATCTTGTCCATTATTCCACCCCCCAGTTAACTAACGAGGCCGGGGGAAACAGCTCTCTCTAGTCCGTTATCCCGTCCTCAGTTAGCTAACTATTCTAGAGCACTCCCAGAGTTCCTAAGGCAACCTCTCTCGTTCAACACCTTGTAACCTAGGTGCTAAGACTACAAGGCGCCGTATCTGGATCAGCTACCCGAAACTCTAGAGAGAACTCTAGAATACAGAATCATTGCCACAAACGTATAAGAGAAAACGAAAGGAAAGAAATGAATAGTGAAGTAATTAGTGAGGGTTTGGGGTGAGAGGTAGGGAGGTGGGAGGAGCGAGGAGGGTCATTAGTTGAAAGTGAGAGTTTAGAGAGGGGTGGAGGGAGAGGTGTAGATAGGTAGAAGTAGAAGAGTAGATAGTAGAAGTAGAAGAGTAGATAGTAGAAGACGAAATGCTGCCACCATCCATTCTAGATCATCATATACAAGACAAGGAATGGAACTTGTCTGTATCACAATATTCACCAAAGATGTTATCAAGAGATCATTATTAGTATGGTCCCATCTTTATCATGTACTCATTCTAAACCCTGAAACCAGTAACTACAGAGGCTCTCTCACCTCAACTCAAAATCTCTAGGGAACAAAATAAAGTCCATTTAAATGATAAATTCATAATTATATTTCACATGAAGTATCGTAATTTAGCAATTCAATTAAAATGTTCCAGTTTAATATGCAAAGTGAGTCATCATCCAAGAATTCGAGAACCCTACAACTTGACTGCCCCTGATCATCACACAACATATGTAAACACGACCAAGTCACCTTACTGCTCAACTCACCAAGTGTCTCTGCCTATAGCTGGATAGAGGGGGGGGGAGGGGGTCTGTAGTTGACAGAGACTCCCGCCCTGCCGGCCGACAGCCTCCCTGCTAGGGCCGTCTCCTCTGCTCTGCTGACTGCCGTTCTGTCTGTTAATGCTTAATGCTCTCGAATCGGTAGTTCTCCGAGTATTTATTGGGGAACCTAGTAACTAACTTCGCCCACAAGTAGATAGCCTGAGGCACTCTACCAAGCCACTCCTTAAACGTCGGCAAGTTTGAAGGCTACCAGGCTCCAACTAAGAGATTATCAGAAGCAAGGTGAAATTCGCATGATCTGACCTCAGGTCACTTGAGGTCATTAACGCTTTGAGGTGTGAGATCTCAGGCCGACAAACTGGCGCCCCTCAGATCCTTGTCTGTGACTCATGTACTCTATGTATGTATTAAACTAAACCAAACACTTTTACAGTGTTACAATATAACGTGTATTAGGCCTAGGATAGTTAGGTTAGGTTTTATTAGCAACATAAATACAAAACCTTCCGGTTTGTCTAAATTCAGTAGTGCTAAATTCTACTTTCTAATTGTCCATTACGTCAACATGTATACGATCGTCCGCATCGTTAATATAAGTACAGTATTATATAACAGGAGGATGGACTGGTGAAACTGTAGGGCCAGTTGGCCTAAACCCACGTGCAGGGTGTGTGGTGAACAGTCACTCGGTCACCAATCACCCCGTACAGCGTGTGTGGTCACCCGGCCACCAAGTCGCAGCGTGTGTGGTGGCCACTCTACCGCTCACCAGCCACCCGTCCACCACAATAATACCACCTTCTTAATATATGTAAACAGATCCGTTATCTTGGCGATACCTCTGGTAATTACTTATGTTTCATGACAAGCTTTTAAATCAAAAGAATACAAGTTGATTAGTCGTGGGTCGTCTGACTGGTGTGGCTAATGAATATATACAACGTTTGAGTTCCACAGGATTTTAACTTGGCTCATCTTCGAGATACAGAAGCGTTGGGAAGTTAACCCGTTTAATTAATATAATTATATTAAGCAGGAAGGTCGGGATGGTACGGTGCCCCCCCCCCCCCGGTGGCGACCTGTACTACATTAATGCCTTCACATTCCTGTCACATTTCAGCTGAAACATGTTACACTGGACGAATGTTAGTAAAGACTGTTTACCTCGAACGTTCTGAAGTCTGTTTTACAGACTTCAGAACGTGTGTTTGCCCTCTTACAGCGCTCTGGGCTGAAACATACTAGGCTAAAGAATTTAAAAGTTGACAGCGAGGTGAAAACGTTGTAGAGTGAAACGTTTCAAGATATAAGAGGCTGCCTGGAGCTGTCGTCCACTTGTCGTGGGTGACATGTACAACATGAAGACGTCCAGTGCCGACATGTGCCCTGCAGACAGCATGAAGACGTCCAGTGCCGACATGTGCCCTGCAGACAGCATGAAGACGTCCAGTGCCGACATGTGCCCTGCAGACAGCATGAAGACGTCCAGTGCCGACATGTGCCCTGCAGATAGCATGAAGACGTCCAGTGCCGACATGTGCCCTGCAGACAGCATGAAGACGTCCAGTGCCGACATGTGCCCTGCAGATAGCATGAAGACGTCCAGTGCCGACATGTGCCCTGCAGACAGCATGAAGAATGAGGCGCCTAGGCGAGACAGTCCAACATGTCCACTGGCTAATCCATCGTTCCTGGCCGGGTGACGCCCTCACCGCCCGCTGTCACGCCGCCGCTCACCAATTACCGTCACATACATTACGGTTGTGGAGTACGGCGCTTCTTTGTGTCTCCATTTTACTCCTGCTGTGGGAGGGACACCATCTTTGGTGGTGTGGGAGGGACACCATCTCTGGTGGTGTGGGAGGGACACCATCTTTGGTGGTGTGGGAGGGACACCATCTCTGGTGGTGTGGGAGGGACACCATGTCTCGTGCTTTGAGAGAGACACCAT